AGAAATGTAGTGATTCTTTTTTAACTTTAAATATACTTTATTTTTGAGACTGGAATATAACTGCATCCTTTCCTCCCTCCAAAGCCTCCCTTTACTCTCTAGCAGACCCGACCTGCCTTAACCTCTTGGTGACAGCACACCTGGAGGCAGGCTTCCTTCTCTGAATCTGCAAAACCCAACCTCAGAAAAACTTGAAAATTTTAAATTTCATTTATAACTTTAAATGTCTCTTCTAAAACACTTTTCACACAGCCTGCATCAGTTTACAGTATTATTTCTACCAAAAACCAAACTATGTGTTTTTAATTCAAGAGTTGCTTCTACCTGATATTGGAAACTGACGTCTGAAGAACAGTAAACAGAATTTTTTAGGGTCTGAAGAGACAACTCAGAGGTTAAGAACACTGGCTGCTTATACAGAGGACCTGGGTTCAGTCCCCAGCACCACACTCAAGCTCACAACCACCTGTAACTTTAGTTCCATGGAGATATGGTGTCTTCTGGCCTCTCAGAGTACCAGGCATACACACAGTACACAAACATGCAAGCAAAACACTCATCTACATAAAAAATAAATTTTAAGGTGTGTGTGTGTGGCCATGCAGTGGCGCACACCAAGATAAGGGAGGCTGGACTACTTGTGAATTCAGGACCAGCCTGGTCTACATAGAGAGTTCCAGGACAGTCAAGGCTACACACTGAGATTCTGTCTCAAAAAAGCAACTGAACCAAAAAGAATGCATGTATTCTTTTTCTAAAAAGAATGAAAATAATTGTACGTATTTAGTGTATGTGTGTGGTGCACACATGCCCCAGTAGTGCAGCATGCACGTGGAGGTCAAAGGACTACTTCTAATAGTTGGTTCCTTCATTCGCATATGTGTGTCAGCTATGGGTATAAAAATCAGCTCCTGGGGCTGGAGAGATGGCTCAGTGGTTAAGAGCAAAGCCTGCTCTTCCAAAGGTCCTGAGTTCAATTCCCAGCAACCACATGGTGGCTCACAACCATCTGTAAAGAGGTCTGGCGCCCTCTTCTGGCCTTCAGGCATAAAGACAGAATATTGTATACATAATAAATAAATAAGTAAGTAAGTAAGTAAATAAATATCAGCTCCTGGGTGCGAGCACTTTCCCCACTGAGCCATTCCACTAGCTTAAAATGAAGAATGCTCTAAAGGAGGGTTAACAAGTGAAAAAGGAACCTAGAACAGCTGTCTACACATTAACCCAGCACTAGGATGGTAGCCCACACATAATGCCAGAACTCAGTAGGAAGACTGGAAGAATTTCAAGTTAACCTGAGCTACACAGTGAGAAAAGGGGCAAAAGAGCCAGAAGAGGTGCCAAGTACAACAGTAGGTGGCTGGAGACTGGAGATTCAGACAGCTGTGTAGATGCAGGTTTCTTTCAAACCACGGCCATCTGAATTCTGGGTGAGGGAAGAGAAAGTGAAGGGTCACACCACATGAGTAATAGAGGTGTTACAGGACGGGAGAACTGGAAGAAGGCATGGTAGTGGCACACACACCAGCACATAAGCCACTAAGACTGGGCCTTTGAGGAGCAGTCTGGTTCATCTCTGTCCCGATGAGCCAAGATGTGCACAAGATGGCACCATGGAAGAATGGCCTAGCTGTCATGCCTTCCCTACCATGACCCACTCTACTGGCACCCTCTGAAACAGTGAGAAAAATGCTTATGTCAGAGCAACACAACAAGTCAACAACACAGCCACTGACATGACCAGTTCTCATCTAAGAACAGAGATACTCGTTTTAAACTTCACTAAGCTGCAGCATGTTCGAGGAAAACAAGACAAAACAAACCAAGCATACAGCAGGCATGGCAACACACACTTGAAACTGCAGTACTTGCAAGGTACAAGTAGAAGGATCACTACAAGCCAAGGCTGGCTTGGGCTACATCAAGAAATCCCGCTGCAAAACAAAAAAAGAGTGTGTGTTGCTTTTTCAGAGGATTTGGGTTTCCAAGCACCCACAATGACATTCACAACCATCCCAGGGGACCTGACAACTCTTTTTAACCTAAAAGGGCTGTTGCATGCACATGGTATCTATCTCTTACACACACACACACTCTCTCATATAGACACACACTCAGGCACACATACGTATCTTTACACCAGGAGGTGGTGTTGCACTCGGGAGGCAGAGGCAAGCAGATCTCTGTGAATTTGAGGTGAGCCTGGTCTACAAGAGCTACTTCCAAGACAGGCTTTAAAGTTATAGAAAAACCCTATCTTGAAAAAACAAACAAA